TCCATGCTGGAATGGACAGCATGGAGCGCACTTTTAGTTCCAAGGGCTCACTGACTCCTTTAGGTGTCTTTATTGAGTGATACTTATTTCTGTCAGACAAAATGAGCAGAACCTGCCAGAGGCATGGAGGAAGCTGAGGCACAGAGAGTGTTCCTTGTTGAGAAGTCCCTACTTTCAGAAGCCACTTTTGGAAAATGTGTGAGTCTGTCATGCAACTTGCAAAAGAGAGTCAGTGCATGGTGATAAGCAAACTACTTTTGATGAGGGTTATTTGGATTCTGTATGGAGTTTGTTGTGACATCAGTCATGCAGGGAGCCCCAAGAATTTAGCTCTTATAAGATTTTTTGTTGTAGACAGTCTGAGGAAAAGATGCTAGTTGGAAAATAGCTCAGCACTGAGTTGGTTGTTTAATAAAATGTAATGACCAGAATGGCCTTAGAATCATCTGAGTTAAACATCTTATGTGAATGATACGATAGGGCTTGATAAAGATTCTTTCCTTGAACAAACTATAGTTGGGCACCTATGAGATCTTTTTTTAACTAGACTCCATTAATGGTCACATACTCAATAACCCATTTTTAGCAAGAATTCTGCCAAGTCAATTTAGCCAGAATCGCCCAGCCTCGATATCTGATCAAAGTCCCTATCCTCTATCATCCTCCAGGCAATATCTGCTCACTCTGGCCAGCAATCAGCAAGAATCCTGTTAGATAAATTCAGTCAATAATTATTCTATCCTTTTAGTAATTTTTTTTTTATCCATGGACCTCTACACTGCTTCTTGGTAAAAATTCCTGCTCTTCCTTGCTATACGAGTTGAGTTCTATCTCTCTCACTTACTGCAATACCCCATTGCAGTCGTCCCTGTATCTATTACAGTAGTCTTGAATAAGTCTTCCCTGTCATTTTAACAAGTGTCAGAATAATCTTTTCTTTGACAGGCTTGGAGAAATAAGTGGCTTGTCCAGAATAACGCTTTGAGTGCATTTCAAAATCAGTTCTAGAGTCTAGATTCCAAGTTCAATGTTTTTTTCCCACACCATGCTGCCTTTATGCCTTCAAGAGTATAGAATTAAGAAGTAATTAACTCCATAAAATGTTTTACTTGGATTAATAAAAATGCAAATGACAGCCTCTAGAGTTCATGTTGTTTCTCTTCTTCTGCTCTGCATAGGATAGTTGCTCTGGGTGATCAGTCATTTAACCTTAATTCCAGTACAAGTGAATTACTCACTCTTCTGGTGGTACTAGATGCTGCTGGACTGCACCAGTCTGCACCAGGTGTGCCAGCATCCAGAGCATTAAATGTGTTTTCTAGGTGTGACTGTGTTGATTTGCCACTAGACATTAGTAGTTGGTTAAAAACTTGTGAGTAGGTTTAAACAAGCTCTTTCATTCATTCTTTCAGATAAAGACAATGTAAAACCATACAAAAAACAATACATTCAGTACTTGCTTTGTGCCAGGCATGGTTGAAAGCATTGGGGCTGTTGTAAGAAATAGTTCTTGCCTTCAGGGAGTTATAGTCAAGAATGAGGTTCCAGACTAAAGACTGCATAGCCAAACCAATAGGATCAATACTAAAACAGAAATGTGTACATCGCGATATAAGAACTCAAGGAAATTGTGACTAAAGGTGAAAGAAGAGTGATATTGGAATTGGATGTTGATAGCTGGAGATAAATTAATCAAGTAGAGGAAACAGGTTGGGTAGCTCAGGCGGGATGATGTGTGCAGAAGTGGAGAGCAGTGAAATGTAGGACATATTTAGGGAAGTTTAATATGGCTGGTGAGAAAGGGGCAGGGGAGCAAGTGACTAGAAATAGGTTCAGAAAAAGAGGTTGAAGACAGGTTTTTACAAGACTATACTTTGAAGGCGCAGCTTGACTGTGTGCAGGCAATGGGTAATTACTGTAAAGGAATGAGATGGGCAGATCTGCATGATTGAAATAGCACCTTATAGCCAGGCTCAGTGGCTCAGCCTATAATCCTGCGCCTTTGGGAGGCTGAGGTGAGTGGATTGCCTGAGGCCATGGGTTCGAGACCCACCTGGGCAGGCGAGACCTCATCTCTACAATAAATCAAAAAATCAGCTGGG